TATACACCCATTGTGAGACTGCATCTCATTCACTGTTCTCACAAGGAAATTGGCTATGGGCTAGCAATGGAGAATATAGGGGGTCAAGTGAGTAGGAAAAGAATGAAACATCCTGTGAATCTAGTTTTTAGAAAGCAAGGAGTGGCTACTTAGAGGACCTGGCTTGTTAGGTAAGAGCCAAGATACAGAGTTAGTGCTAGACTTTGGCGTGAATTGCAATCTTGGGTAAATACCTTACAATCCATGTCTAAGCCTCAGCTGACCCATCTGTGCAGTAAGTATGACACTAACGTGTATATATCATGGGGCTGTTGTGAAGACTGAATGATATTAAACATACAAAGGGTTAAATTATATAATGCATAAAACACTTGGAGGTTTCCATAGGGTAACTTTGTTGACTCCTGAAATCTAATTCCTCCTTCTTTCTGGTGACAGCCAGAAGCTCCAACCTCCTCCCTTATTGTCAGGCCCACATATGTCACTTATAATCACCATTGCCATTTGGTATCTCAACAACACCTCAAATTTAACATACCCAACACGGAGCCTGAAATTTTGCACCTCAAAACTCTGTTCCTGACTTATTCATCTTCCCTATCTCAGTAAGTGGCACCACAGGGTCAAGCCAAAAACTGGAGCTTCAACTTTGGTTGTTTATATTCCCTACCTTCTTCATCTGATCATATGGTAAAACCTTTATGCGCAGTCCAGCATTCACCTTGCAGAGTGGCCTCCTTGCAACATTTGCTGCAGGGTCATTTCATCAGCCTCAGCCATCATTTGACTTGTGCCTCTGTTTCTCCCTCCATAGGGGGTAATTCTTCTGGGTAGCTCCCACCCATGCAGAAATTAAAGGAGAGGATAGGCACTGTGCCTCTTGCATTACCTTTTCTCTCCCACATCTGATCTCTGCTCTTGACTGCGTCTCCACCAGCGGCAGCTGAACTGTGAGGGTGCCTCAGTAGGGTTCCTGTGCCCTCCGGCTCCTGGCTGCTTTCCATTCTTGAGTAGTTTTGGCCTGGAGTGGAGGGAGGAAGAGAACAGCCTTGCACATGGTTCTTCTTCCCTGTGAGGTCAGGCTGCATGGAGCTGGCTCTGTCCCTCCACCCAGGATCACTGCTGTGCTCAGACAAAATGACACTAAGCAGCCTCTGTTCTGCCAAGGCCTGGTGACCATTCTGTCTCCTGTCCTTTCAAGCTCAGAGGAGGAAACAGGCTGCTCCGTGGTCCCTTGAAGTTAATAGCTTATAATAATATCTTTGTAAATAAGTACTCAAATCTCATTTTGGGAGTGCACCTGCTTCTGTCAAGACCCTGATGATTCAGATGCTAACGGTGGGCTTTTATCACCATCTAACCACAATGGTATGCACCCTGCACCCATGGTTACTAGTCAGTAGCATCACCACTCCATGTTGATGCCTAGGACCTCATGCAATGTGGCCCTCTTCTATGAGTTTTGAGGAAAGCCTGGCATAACCAGGCCTAACAGGCAAAAACTCTGTTTTTGAGTTTCTCTGCAACCTGTTTAACACTCTTTCCTCAACTCTTGCAGAATTTCCATCTTGGAAAGGAAGGATTGGGGTGAGAAGCCATGATACATGTACCTTGGCTGCTTGTTCCCTTTTCTCTCCTCTAGTTCGCAGTCCAGTGGAAAACCTGCCTCACTTCCTCTGGCTGTAGATCTGTGACTTCTATGTCTTCCAAATTGAGGAGGAATTTCCTCTCTTCAATCATCTAGATCTATCACAGTTGTATTTTGCTGAGAAATGTGATTTATGAGAAAGAGGAATAAGCAAACATCCATGTAATGTTTTTAAAGCTTCCCTGCTCATTATATATGAATCAGACAATATCATTCCTTTACTTAACCCTTTATTGGCTTCACACTCGCCATAACATGCAGCTTTGTTACCAGCATCTAGATTCCCAGCAGTGTTAGTTCCTGTTTATGTTTCTAGCCCATTTCCCCATGTGGCTAGTTTAAAATCACATTTATTTTTAAAAGTTATTTCTTACCCGAGGGCCTTTGCACATGCTGCTTTCACTGCCTAGAAGAATTCCTTTTTGCCCCTATTTGCATGGCTAAATTTTTTAGTTCTCACTTTAAATGTCACTGTCTCTACTAATGGTACTCTGCCATAAACTCTCTAAAAATCATTCTCTGTATTGTCTTTTGAATTATTCCTTCCATTGTCCTTTCCATACTTGCTATTGTTTTATTTATTTCTCAAGTTTATTTCATTTATCATGCCCACCAGAAAGAAGGCTTTATAAATGTCAGCTGTGGTACAACCTTGCATGCCATTGTATTCCTGGCTTGTATCAGTGTCTCTCACAAAACGGATTTACAATAAACATTTGTAGAATGAGTAACTGAATACAGTCTCGTGTGCAGTATGGTAGAAGTGGTCAGTAAATACAGTCTAACACGGCTCTTGTGAACTCTCCAGTGTCACATAATTAGTGTGTTATAAACTTGAGAGCATTGACTGCAGGGAATCAGTCTGCTTCATATTATCATTTAGACGCATCGTAAAGCCCCTCTCAGCAGAATTGTGCTAAGAAATTTATCTGGTCAAGCCAAGCACAGTATATGAAGCTCTCCCTGTGGGAGAGGCAGGCTGCCATCTTGTGAGCAGCCTGTGGAGAGGGGGCAAAAGCCCTGCTAACGGTCAGCAGTGAGTGGAGGGCTGCAGCAGACTTGGGCCGGAGCTGGGAATCAGACTCCCAGCCTCATTTGACCCTTGCAATATCTGATGACCACACTGCCAGCTTGATTCCAGCCTTATGAGGGACCCTGAGCCAGGAAAACTCTGCTAAGAAGCTTCTGGATTTCTGACCCTCAGTAATTGTGCAAGACAGTATTCATTGTCTTAAGTTGTGAAGTCTTAGAGCAGTGTGATATAAAGTCACATTACAGTCTACAGTCACGTCACCTTATCCTGTTTCACTTTCTGTGATTTCAGTTACCTGTGGGCAATGGGGATCTGAAAATGCAAAAAGGAAGATTCCAGAAATAAGAGCATATTTATGTCACTTTTATTACAGTGTATTAGTAAATTTGTTTTATTTTATTATTAGTGTTATTAATTTCTTACTGTACCTAATTTATAAATTAAACTCTATCATATATACTTGTATAGGAAGAAAAACATAATACATATATATATAGAATTTGTTTTAGCCATCCATGAGGGAGTCTTAGAATATAACCTGTGTGGATAAAGGAGAACTACCACAATCCAGATTTTGATACCTGGAAGTGGAGTGCTCCATATTAAAACCCAAATCATGGTTGACCCTGAAAATACACAGTGAACTTCGAGGAGAGTGTATGTTGAAGACTTTTCTGTAGAGTGAGGACTTGTACGAAAATGAGCAAAATCTCATTGGGAAGTGGAGGAAAATATTTATTGTGGAGCATGAAAGAGTTAGGAACACCATTTCCTGCAATTATGTGGGAAAACAGGGACTAGGCCTAATGAACTGGATAGTCTACCTTAGGAGAGTCCTAACCTGGGGTGTTCTTGCTGCTTATTGTCAAATGTGAGAGGAGAGAGAGAAATTAATGGGAGGTCTGTAAAGAAAATGAATCATGACTTGGTGATTCTGAAAATTCTCAGCCTTCTAGGTGACAAACAACACTAAGATGAAGAAAAAGCTTCTGAACAAAGATCTAGTGCCAGGAAAATATAGCTCAAGAATGAAGCCAAGAGTGTCACAGTCAAATCTTTTGTTAAAGAACTCAGAAATATGGAAGGTAGTGCCCCAGAATACTATTCACTAGACAAAGGGCACTGTGAAGGGATTAAGGCTGTGCCCCACAGTTCCGCAGTCAAACAATGTGGGATTTCTAGGGAGTTTAGAAGCATTGCTCCTCATCCTGTCAATGGAAGCCCAAGGTAGAGGTCTTTTCTGAAGAGATTTGTGGTTTTCACTAATGAACTAAGATTCACAGAAGATTCCTCAAATTAAAAATATATATATATTAGCAGAAGAATCACCTCCTTGGATTGAAAGTGATGGAGAAGGAACCAGATGAAGAGGTGTTTGGACAACTAAATTCTGCTGGCAGAAAGTAGGCTGGGGAAATTCCTTAGCTGCAAAGATGTGCTAATTCTATGCAAGAAGGAAGAAAGATTGAGTGTGGAACCAGGAGTCCAAAGGGCAGGGCTAAGAGCCGTGAAGAACTATTCCCAGACCTTGAGATATTATAGAGGAATGCCCAACATCTGCGTGACTTGATTTCATAGCTGCCATGGACCTCTGAACCCACTACCAGTTATTTGCACCTTTGTATAATTCCCACCTGCCAGGTACAAGGGTTGATCTGTGTCACCAAAAGCACACAGGAGAAGAAAACTTGTCTTATTTTAAGATACTTGAGTTAATAAGGACTGCAACTTTCATCTTCAACAATCTCTCTCTTTCTCTCTGTCTCCACATCTTCACTGAGTATGTAGACTTTGACTATTTGAGAGCCTATTAGGGCATCTACAAGCATATTGTTAAATAGTTATATTAGTAGAGCTTTTATGTATTCTACTTTGAATAGGAGAGTCCTGGATTATGCTTATTGTCCTTGCATAATTATGTTTCCCCCTTTACTCTCCACATACCCTGGATTGGATGATCAATTGTGACTGAAGTTATCGTCAGTCTCTAGTTTCCTGTACTCCAGTCAACATGTTCTAAATGGCAGTGTATTATGTACATTTGTACAAATATAAATGCAAAGGTACATACCATTGTACTGTGTAGTGTGTGTGTGTGTGTGTGTGTGTGTGTGTGTGTGTGTGTGGTGGGGGGAGTCAGATACCATACTAAGGCAGTTGCCAAAGGCACAACTCCAGTGTTCTTGTTTCCGGGAACTTTATCCTTTGAGTGTTGGCATATCCCGGTCCTAGCAAAAATAAATTTTACACATGTGTTTCAAGAGTGCTTTGAATCAATTTTATTTATTTTTTTCCCCCTCTGGCTCTTTTTTAATGTAGGACTTGAAATTTGAAGAAGGACTCCACCAGTACATTCCTATGTCATGTTTAAAGATGGACAAAACATCCAAGAAGTATGTTCCTTCATGTGAGATTTAATGCATTCTATCTTACCTCTCTCTGTGTGTGTTACTGTGGATTAAATATGGATCAGTTATACGTGATAGGCACCCCTGGTTTGATTTACCCTAAGATATTTGGGAAGCTTGACTCCATTTCATCATGGGATATATCTCTGCCCCTTTATCTATACATTGTTTGGGGGATACAGCATTCTACCTTTACCAGTATATCTGGGAGCCATCTTTTATTTATCTCTTGAAAAATATGTAAGTCCCTAGGCCAGTGTAGGAAGTTCCGGCTTGTGGATGTGGCAGTCATTCCTCCCTCAGGCAGTAAGAGCAAGTGTGGGTGCAGAGATAGTTTTCAAGTTGGATGGTGACACTTTTCTTCATACTGTGTGACCTTGAACAAGATAGCAAACACTTCTCCGTGTTAGTTTCCCATCAATTAGGCAGGAAAAAAATTAATAATACCCTGTCAGATTATTGTAAAGATTGAAGAGATAAAAAGAATGGTAGTTTACAGAAAGTGCCTCGAACATGCTAAATACTGGATAAATGCTACCTAATACTCTATACTAATGGTCCTTGTCAGGGATCTGTTTTGCCCTCAGAGGACATTTAGCAGTGTGAAGAGATGTTTTTGATTGTCACAACTGGGCGTGGGTCAGGGTGCTTTTGGTATCTAGCTGGTAGTGGCCAGGGATCTTGCTAAACATCTTTTAATGAGCAAGGCAGCCCACACTACAAAGAGGTGTTTGATTCAAAATGTCCATTGTGCTGAGGTTGAGAAAACCTGCTTGCTGTACCTCCACACTGCTTGTTCACTGCTCTTTTCATAGCTTCTTATTTTCCTAGAAATGCAAAACGATGAGACTCAGAGTGAGACCTGCCTCCTTGTAAGGATTGTTTAGTGTCTGAGAGGCGAGGCCATGCATATGGGAACTTATACAAATGCCACTATGGTGGCATTTGTGTGCTTGATGTAGAGACCAGTGAGGTGTAGGATAGCACACCTCCTATGCCCAACATTTCCAAAGATAGGATTTTATATTAAGAAAATGGCCAGGGAGGTTGACAAGATTCTGTGTGTGAGAGAGTGGGTTACACATGAGCTTACAATAGTGAAAGTAGAAACTAGCCTAAATATCCAGAAATAAGGGATTGTTTAAATAAATTATGGTAGGACCTTTGGAATTAAACACTAGGTAATACCTAAAAGTTATGCTGTAGTAAGAAAAAAATGACTGTAACATAAGTGGAAAACAAAGATTACAAAATAGTATTTACAGAAGCAGTCTCATTTTGTATTGAAAAAAAAGTATCTAGTACCTAGCTATGAAAAAACAAATCAGTGTTTCCCCAGGGGTTATACCCAAGCTGTAGGCTAAGGAGAAAGTTTTTCAGTGCACAAACACATCCGGACCTCTGTATTCACGTATTCCACACCCATGGAGACAACTAAGCTTAGATAGAAAATATTACCCCCCCCATAAAACTTGTATCTGTACTGAACGTGTACAATCTGTTTTTCTTGTCCAAATTCTCTAAAAATTGCCATGTAACTATTCACAAAGAGTTTACGCGGTACTACAATTTATGAGTCATCTGGAAATGATTTTAAGTTATCTTATATACAAATACTATGTTATTTTATATATTTAAAGAATCTGAGCACCCTTGGACTTTGATATTCAAAGTAGGATCTGAGGAACCAGTTTCCAGTGGACACTGAGGGACAGTTGTACTTACATAACCATAGAGCCAATACATATTCAAGAACTGGGAAAACAGGAATGATAATGTGGCTCAGGACCTAATGCAAATGTAATCTGTTGTCTGCTGTGGCTTCTGACCTAGAATGTGTTTGCTTTAAGGAACTGAAATCACAAGATGATCTCTAGGTATTTGGTATCATGTTAGAGTTGTGTCTTAGCCTTTTCCTGTGCATTATATTCTGTTTTAACCTTAAAGAAGTTATTTTTAGAACATCTTTAACTATAAAAACTGGGCTTATAAGCAGGGACCATGCTTTCTTTATCTTTTTTTTCTTTCAGATCATATTTGTGGATGTAGTATCTAATTATCTAGATTAACTTTTTAGGATGTTTCTAAATGCCTTACAGTTCTTGCCAAAGGAACAAGGACAGAAACTGAGGAAGTCATGTCACTGTGGTTAACATAAAATGCTTGATGTTTACTAATGAAATCTGTTAACCTTCATAACTGTATAGTAGGGCCATTAAAGACAATAGATACAGTAGTTTAAAAGTAATAAAATTTACAACAAAGTGTATTTAATTTGAAATTGAATTGCTGGCAAATGGGTGTCCTAATGAACCCTTGTGTCAATGGAGCTCTAACCAAATTAAGGGAAATCATTTGTGTCACAGGAAACTAAATCAGCAGTGAGACCCCAAAAGGCTATTCCTCTGATGGGGGTATAGTCATTGTCACAGATGGCCCCGCTGATGGAATTTAGTTTAAGTCAAGAGAAGTGAGATACACTATCCTTCTTAATTCAAATTAATTTGGGAAAGCAGGCAAATGCTGTCAGGATTCAAGAAGAAAAAAAAAAAATCAACCATAAAGAAGAATCTCGAATAAAGTGAATAAATGTTAATAGGAAACAAAGAGCCTGGGGAGCATTTTGAGGGTGGAAATAGATCTTGATCTCTGGCCATTGCATTAAAAAAAGTTTATGTCATATCAGCTATTCATGAATTTAGATGAAGTTTTTCTCAAAGTTGCTCCAACAGTTTATAAAAATGAAAGGAGCAGGGAATAAAAAATGAACTGGTAAGAAGTCCCATGAAATGAGTTGGCCCTGCTGTATCCATAGATTCCATCCATGGATTCAACTAATCCCTGAAAACATAGTTAGACCTATGATGGGTGTGACTGTACTGAGCATGTGCAGACTTTTTTTCTTTGCCATTGTCCCCTAAACAACATAGTATAACTGCTTGCATAGCATTTATATTACAGTATGCATTTTAAGTAATCTAGTGCTAATTTAAAGTACACGGATATCTGTGAATTTTAGTATTCATGGGGGGTCCTGAAACAAGTCCCTCACAGATATAGAGGGGTGATTGTATTTGATCTCCTGGTAATTTCTCAAACAAGTGACATTTTAATTATGGGGAGATTGGTAGCTAATACAATATAGTGAATCTTATATTTTATGGGGCCATACCTCAAAAGCCACTTCCTCTCCGACTTTAATCTGTGGCAACACCTGTAATGTGGTGTTTATCTAACTCCTGGTTAATGTGACAAAATGCTTAAGGAAAACATTAAATTGCTTTGTGGTTCCAAACACAAATCTTGTCTTTATAGTGTGTTATTATCAATTTCTCTTTCTTCTTCCCTTCTTCTCAATTCTGACCGCAGAGTTCCAGGTCAGCCATTCACTGCAGCCTTACATGTTTGTAAAAACAGCAGTGTCACGAAGCTTGGTTCCCTCACAGAAGTAACTCACAGTTGCCAGGGAGTGGCTGGATCTGGCTGGAAGGTGAGGCTCTTGGGACTGACTTTTCTCCTGATGCAAAATGTGAAATGATGAGATCAATGGTATCGATCCTCGTGCCTGTTGTGCTTTTCTGCCTGTAGATCTCTCAAGGGAAACAGAGTTCTAGCAGGCCTAATAAATATTTTCTGATGAGAATTCTGTGCTAAAACAGGGTGGCTGAAAGCTCTCACTAGCAAAGCCCTTGGAATTCCTCAAAGCAGGGTGCTCATAGGACCAGGCCTGTCCCTGTGCACAGTGAGGCAGGCTTGCCACCATGCAAATGAGACAAGGCTTGAGATTTGACAAATCTTCTATCTCCTGCTCCTACTCATCTGACATCCGCTTTGAGGAAGGTTGTAAATGCAAGAGAGATTGTGGTATAATTCCTCAGACTGGCATTTCTGCCCCCTAGTCACCATTCGATTATCTTCCAAATTGCTGTGTTTCACAGAGATAAAGATTTTTTATGGCTTGCTGACTTGAAACAACCACAAGAGCCAGCAAAGAGATGGCTAGGCGGCCATGCATAGTAATTCCATTGGTAAATGACAAAATCTTTGTTTGTATGGCATTTCCAAAATTACTACAGAAGATGAATCTAAAACACAAAATGTCACATTTGGCATGCAAAACTATCACAATATATTTCAGTATAAAATTCATAGAGGCGTTTAATTTAGAATGTGTTTAATAACTCCGCCTGCCTGCATCAGTAATCCTGCCTTGAGGTTTAAAAAGATTGTCTTATTTATTCACATGGTGTTAAGTTTTAAAATATTTTTGGAAACCAAAATATTAAGGTTAAGTCTTTGTTGTTAATTGAGATTTTCTAATTAAACCAAAAATAATTGTTATTCCAATTAGTTTTTAAGTATGACTTGCATGAAAAAACAAAAGAATTTGAACAACTTTTACTGTTTATTTAACTGTGATTTAATTCTAGAAGCACACTATCTATATGGAAATATACATTATCTCTTCAGATAAAGTCGAGGAAGGATTACAAAATCCTTACTGCTGTCTGCAGTTTAACTGGTGGCACTACTAACTTCAGTGGCCAAGAGAGTAACTTGCTTCTAAAACTTGCTTTTGATTAAAGGACAGCGTGCCAGAAAATTCTTCAAGGTCAAATTATTTGGAAAACTATGAGGGACTTGGGGATATAGAAATACACATGACTTAAATGATATTTAAGTTATTAATAATCCCAGTTTAGTTTTTATTTAATCTGAAACAGTTGTTCATTAAAAACCATCAATCTGTATAAATGCCTAGAGACTTACTGAAAAATGAACATGGCCTTTTTCTGTCAGCTAAGAATAAGCAATGTCATTTAAACATGTTGTGGAGTACTGAGTCATCTACCTCAGTTACATACAAGTGGTGCTAAATTTTGGGGTAAAACATATCCATATGTTACTTTCCCCTTATGTTTGGACACTTTTTGGAAGCGTGTGAGGCAGGCTGACCCCATTCCAATACAATGAAGTATTGTCCTGGTCTGCGCTGCACCACACTTATCAATATGGCAATGTGATCTGTGACTACTATTGTAGGTCAGGCGTGTCACCCTTTCCATGCCCAGTGTGAAGCTTACTGTCCAGTTTCACCCATCCCTGACATTGGTGAGGGCACGCTGTGTGGCGTTGAGAAGTGTTGGTTTCCTGTTAATTCTGTCTTGTTATAATAAATGAATGGTTTCTGATGTCACAGGTCATTAACATACCATGCTTACAGATTGGCTAAACTTTCCCTCCCATCATCAGCAGGTTTGCCTTTTGACCTCTTAATTATACATCTGGTGTCCTTGTCTGTTATCTTTGCTAATACCTGACAATTACAGGTTGAGTAAAAGTAATTGTCTACTCCCCTTCCCAGGAGCCTGTTGTTGCTAATTGTGTGGTTTTACCCAGTTCCTGTGTCATTCAAGAATTCCACCTTTTATGCAGGTTGAGCAGTCTCAGCCGCCTCAGCTGCTTCAAATACAGATCAAATGCATCCGAGGCCTCAAGGATAAGGCTCCTCGAGGCTGTTATTTCCTCAAAGTGTCCCTGCTTAGTCGGCTGGGAGGCTGTGTCTTGCAGTGGTGGCCAACAGAGCAGCTGAGGACCAGAACACACCCTGTTAGGCATGACGGCAACTTTTACAACACGGGGCTATTTTTCCACCAAAGCCTTTACATGGTAAGGTGACCTATGCATATGTATACCTTTTGTTTTATGTAGCTTCCTGCTTTCCCTCTCCATCCACCTTTCTTCTTGATCCATGTAGCTTTAGACAACAAGCTTTGCGTAATGAAGAATTTTATTCATTCATGCATTTGTTAATTTACACATTCAGTCATTCAACAAATCCCCAGCAAGTACCCACTGCAAGCCAAGAACTTACAGGGACCATTATGGACTCCTTAAATCCACCATAACCAGGAAATGCTTCCCTTAGTATCAAGATCACATGGGTTTCTAATCCCATTCTTCCCCTTTCTGAGATCTTTAAGTGGCGAGCTTGCCTATGTGTGTGTTGGTGTGTAGTGCATGTTGTGTGCTTGTGCAGAGAGCGAAGGCCACTGATTTTAGGAGAGAACCAGCTCTAGGTAGGAAGTGAAGGTAGGGGACTGTATGGTGGACAGAGGGGAGAACAGTGACCCTGCAACAGTGTTCTGGAGGAGCCAGCGCCAAGAGGGGAGGTGGTGGTGGTGGTTGTGTTGGGAGGGGACGGACTAGAGTGGTCCTGGAAGCGGATGGAGCATTGGGTACCTATGGGAGGAAGGAAGGGGAGGCTTGGCCATCTCTGGGGTGTCTGTGCTGGGGGACAGTGCCCCCCCAGGGGACTCACTCCCTCATCTCAGATTGGTGCACGGGGAGGTGGCATGGGTACCAACTGCTCACAAATGTGAGATTGCCTTTATACTGGTGACTTGAAGTATTTAAAAAATTACAAGAATTATTATAAGGATCACAGGATGACATGCAAAAAGAAAGTTTTCTTGGAAATCAGGGTGTATTTTATTTTCCCATTTCCCATTAGGTCTTATGTTAAAGGCTATATTATTATTAGGGGCTGATTGGACCATTGACTAATAAGCCTAGCACCCCAACCACTCTTTCACTTAGAAGTTGATACAGGTTAAAAAAAAAACCACAGAAATAAACAAAAACTGAATAAGCCTGTTATTGGCAGCCATATGCTAAACAGGTGTTTAGTGACATCACAGCATGGCCCTAAGCCATCTCTATTCCCAGTTCAGACATGTTGGAGAACTGACAGTACTGGTGGAGGCGATCGCAGAAGTCTCTGAAACAGAAACTGAAGAGTTCATTTCTAGGAAGAGTTTTGGGCAAAGGGGATTCTGAGCCTACATTGTTCACTGAAAAGCGAGGTTCACTGAGTCGGCTCATTTGTGAAGTGTGCATAAAGATGCCTGCCTATCAGCCATGTGAGAAATGACTGGACTAATGCATGAATAAATACACTATGCTATAGCAAGAATTTCAAATCTTTTATTATTATTGTTATAATTATACTGTCTCTTTGGTAGTGAAGCCCATAAATTTTTACCCACTGGACTTTTCTTTTAATTAATATGATTAATGCTTATAGTTCAGATAACTTTCAAATTAACCTTTGGTTGAAAACAATGTAGGTTAACAATTTTTTTCTCTAATATGTGATCCCAGAGGCCTCGTTAAGAAGCATGGGGTATAGGTACAGGGTGTTCGTCTAGGTTGGTTATGGAGATAACTCTTCCCCGGGGAAGCCATCAACTGCTAGAAGCAGAATTCAAGGTGGGTACCAAGCAGGCATCAGGTTTAGTTGAGCCCCTGAACTGAGTTCTTGGCTCTTATCATTCACCAAGGAGAAATTTCAGAAATGGAGTGGTAGTGAAGAGTTCAGTTAATATAATTTCAAAAGGGTTCATCAGAACCTAATGAACAAGTACATTCTTTTGGTATGTTTTGATCAAGTACGCAAATTTTAAATCAAGGAGTCAGGCTACAAAATATCATTTGAAGGACTTACTTTTTACTTTATAGACCATGAATGAAGTTTTATATCAGAAAGCCATATAAAGTGTTTTCATTATTGTTTTTTAGGTGCAAATCCCCTAGGATCCCACAGGGTTATGAATTCTGAGTACTGGAATCACGTATGTTGACATGTTCGCTTTGCAGTGAATATCCCCTGGGAGCTATAGAATGGTTGTCACTGAGCATTATGGTTTCGATAAGTGTTTCCCAAAGGTCCATGTATTCAAGGCTTGGTACCAGGGTGGAACTCTTAGAAGGTGGTGGAATGTTTCAAAAGCGGGGCCTATTAGGCTTTTAGGTTACTGAGGTGTATCCTTGAGGGAATTGTGGGACCCCATTCTCTTCTGGTTTCTCTTTGCTTCCTGTTTCATGAAATAAATGATTTTACTTTGCTGCATATTTCTACCATGATTTGCTGCCTTGTCAGAGGGCCAAAGTAATGTGCATCCCCAAAGTTAGATGGAACCTCCAAAATCATGAGCTAAAAGAACCTTTTCCTCTTTATACATTAATTTCCTCAGGTATTTTGCTATGGTGATGGAAAGCTGAATATGAAATAGAATATGCTATAGGTAAAATGTCAGGAGGGATAAGAGTATGAAGAGATGTATCAAGGATGTTTTCAGGGAGTAGGGGTGCAGCTGCTAGGAGATTACAAGAAACAATCAGTGTTAGAATTTATATCGTCTATAGGGACACACAAATCTGACAGTTCCTCCAACAAGAAATGCATTTGTTCTTCCTGACAAACAGAATGAAAAGTATCTTGGAATAGTTAAAATAGCAATCCTAAATTTTCTTCACATGTGTCAGAAACAGCAATAACAAAAACAATAAAAAATAATTATCTCCTGTCATAGTCAGGCAAAGTTTACTCTTTAACAGCCTGACAAAATGTCACTGAATTACATCCATCCCTTGGTATCACCTAACGAAAGTCTGAGATCCCCAAAGAAATATACAAGGCTGCTTCACAACCAGCGTATGTAAGAAAAACACAAAATTCAGGACAAAAGTAAAAACAAGAAAAGCAACAAAACATTCAGAATTTGACAGGAAAGAAGTCAGTGGAGGCTTTTTGCTTTCAGAATAAAAATGCTGTTGCTCAGTTTTGTTCCTTTTGTTGGGCTCTAAGCAATCATCTCAAATATTTTCACTAACCACACAATTCTGCCTGCCAGTCACTCTGCTGGAAGTTTGTGGGAGACTGACAGCCAAAAATAGCAAGTTTTCAAGCAATGTAATTTTGTAATAATAAAAGTACACTTACAAAAACATAAAATTGTACATCACGTACATAGTTAATGCAGGAACATTTAAGATAGCTTTTTAATTAAATTTAACGCACAAGTCAAAAGCAGGTCCATCTGTATTCTTACTTCACTAGTGGAAGAAATTTTCTTCCCTGAGGTTGTTGGACAGTGCAAAGCATCATTCAAATGCTATCTGGAGAGAGATGGTCGTCTTTTTGTGTGTGTGAACTTGAGGAATCAAGGAGGCACTACCCAAATGAAAGAACAAGTCCCAATTAGAAGGGAAGTGCTGAGGCCAAGGAGGAAATGTCTGCTTTGCATCTCAGTAGACTTAAATTGCTAATGGACCTGTGGACGAGGGTAACAGCATCAAGGGTGGCTTGCCTTTGGCATCAGGCTGGTCCAGGAGGTGGACAGTGGAAAGCTCAGTTCAAGCTGCCTGTAGTTACTGAGAAAGTTCCTGAGGGGGCAGCTGATATGGGTGAGCCCAATGATCTGTTGCTATAGACGTACACAGTGCTACTTCCAGATCCTACTGTCATTGGTTCTTGTCTCAAACAATCCACTTCCTTTGGGTCTTCCTGTATTACAAAGCAGAGGTGGTCAAATACAGTGAGTTTAACAACAAGCTCAAGTCTCAGTCCCCTCATGTAGCATGAAATACTACCAACTGACTTACTTCAGTCACTATAAGAATTATAGTAAATCAAAATTTTATAGTCAATAATCTCAGGATCATTAATTTTGAGTTTTTTGCTTGGAGGCTTTTGAGTAATTCCTTGATATGGACATTTGAAAACTACTTGTATCCTTACATTTATCATGTGTTTCCAATAGAAAGTGTTGCCTCTTTGTTGATACTCATTAAAACTAAAACCATCTTTCCAATAGAAATATGTGAAAATGTACAAACAAGAGCATGCCTTTTGAATTTTGGTTCTAGCAGCATGGTGATTTAAGTTAAATTTTCAAGTTAACACAGTCCACCTTTCTGCCAGAAGCAGGGGTTAAAAGGTGTTATTTTGTTTTCAGATTTTATTGAATAAATTCTTGGAAATTCCAGGTAGGGTTTGAACATAAAAGCCTTTATATGCATAAATACTCAAGAATGAAGGGATCTCCTTGGGTACTAGAAATGAGAAACAAATTGAAAACCAGAGAGAAAAGGATAAACTGTGGATATAGCTGTGGCTGCATGGGAGAGGAGAAACATTATCAATTTTGCTGATCTAAAGGTTTGAACTTTAACATCCATTCATGAAATGAGCCCTTGAACTCATTAGATTTAGAGTAGTCAAAAAGAATCTTGTACATAAAATTAGGACACTTAAAGTGTATCCCAAAAAGAATATACTAAACAAAAATTTGCCCATGGGAGATAAAAATCTTCCCTAAATAAATAACATGAAGTATGTCTTTTCTCTAAGCTCTTTTAAAACTGTATTTCATCCGAGTATCTACAACAGAGTTACTATATGGAAAACATGTAGTAGTTGAAATTAAAAATTCAAAAGCTATATTATAAAGAAGATTAGAGCTTTTAAAAGAGTACTAATGATCTGAAAGCCAGACGAGAGGCAATTTCTTAAACTGCAGTACTAAAGGACAGAGAGGGAAAAAGTAAAGTGACTTAAAAAGACAGAAGAAAATGTCTAACATCATATGAAATTTCCAGAAGGAAAGAACAAAGGAAGTGTATTATATTAAGAGATAACAGCTCTTACTTCCGCAGACTCATTAGAAGGCATGAACACTCAGACTGCAGGAACAGAAACTCTGAGTAAATAGAACAAAATAAAATCAGTCTACATGGATCCATCACAGTGAAATTATAAAGATCGATAAAGGGCTCAAAACCATTACACAATATATTTATTTATTTATTTATTTATTTTTTTTTTT